TTTAGTTAAAATATGTTTACTCAGAGATTGGAACCGGTTTTAAACTCGAGTAATATTGGTTTAAGAGAATAAAATCGAGTTGAACTGTACGGTCATCAGATTTAAGCTAACGCTGACAGAAAAGTATCAGTCCCGTGATCTCTGTATGACTACCCGTGATCTCTGTATGACTACACGTCATATCTATCGCTATGGCTCATCACATTTTATCGTTATCGTTATGATCTGAATGTAGGCTTAGAAATTACGGGATCGACACTGACTGACTCAGCTTCTTAGTTTATTATATTAGTTTAGTTAAATTTTACTATATTCCAATCGGTATAAAATTTAAATTTATATTAAAATCAACGTGAAGCTTAGCCGAAGCTTACTCTGATAACTAAAAAACGGCGCGATCAAAGTAATGTTGCCTCTAGTTAAACTCGAATTAATTATACTATTTTTTTTTTTTTTTAGCTTTATCAACATGATAGCCTCTAATCAAAGTACGAATTCAATCATATACGTGTAATATTTTTTGACTTTATACTGTACCGTAAATAAAATAACCCATCCTATAACCTCTAGTTAAACTTAGAATTTAATTATTATTATATACTTATATAGTTTCATCAATAAAATAAACTTTGCAGCCTTTAGTTAAACTTTGAATTCAATTATTATGATATATGTATATTTTTTTTTCATTTTCATTTAATATAAAAACACCATGAATTTCCTTCATCTTTCTCACCAACGAACAAATCTCCAAAACAATTTTCGAAATATTATTCTCTAAAAAAAAATAAAATAAAAATAAACTCGAAAAAAATGTTGAAATCGTTGAAATATTTTTTTATTGCTCTACTTGTCGTGATTCATGTCATCGCTTCAGCTTCGGCAATTCCCTTGGATACTGATGATTTACAAACTACCGATTTCGAGTCTGAATCCACAAATCCTCATTCCTACGTTGACGCCGACTATGACGATGAAACCGTTGACGATATCGAAGCCCATGAGAAGAGCGATGAAGCTTTTGAGAAAGAACTTGAAGCAGATAAATGGGAATGCCGTTTTTGCAAACACATTAAATTTAAAGCTTATGCCTGTGGATTTTGTAAAAAGAAATAGATATTTACAATATAGAATAATAGTGTAAAAGAAATTATTTGAAATATTGTAATAATATGTATTAAGAATATCTTTTACATATGTAGTCAGTCACATTTCTAATAAAGATTGTTGATAAAAATATAATATTGATCTAATTTTTAGTATAAAATATTTTTCACACATAACAAGGGTTGGCTCCAAAACCATTAAAAGTATTTTTGGTTCACGTAATCTTTTATCATTCCCTAAATTCGCAAATGTTCGCTTACCGTTACCGAAAATTTTTTTAATTCATTATTATTTCACTATTAATTCTTTTTATTGCAGTTTGCAAAAAAAAGCGTGACCTAGGGATTTTTAGTGACGATGAGGAAATCTCAGAGATTATAAATAAACTTTTAATCATTCTGTAAAATAACGAAAAATTGGCAAATCACCGATTCACACATTACATTGTAATCAGCAGAGGTTATATAGATTATGAAATAACATGAGAATTAGAGTTTACAATTGATTCTCAAGTTTTTAGAAATGATTTTTGGTCAATTTTTAAAACTTTCGTTAATAATAAAATTATTTACACTAGGGATGACAAGTCAGGTTCGGTCCGTCCTGGCCCCTAATAAGATCGGATGATCCCAGGACCGGAGACCAAACAACCGCGAAACCGATAACGGACTGATCCTTATTCAGTCAGATCCATCCCTAATTTTATACTATATCATACTAGATTCAATTAGTAAAAAAAAAAAAAAAAAAACTTATTCTCTAAACAGAATGGTGTTCCCGGCTTTTTAAGCCAAATTTTATTGGGTCGTCTAGTCAATTTTTTGAAAAATTTTCGGAATCTTTCAGAATAAAACATTTTAAATACTTTATATTCTGCAAATATGGTACTTTAATCAAAAATCAAATAAATTTATTTTAAAAAAATTTATTTGTTTACTTTATATACAGTAAATTAAATACAAATTAATTTTTTAGTTCTTATAACCAAGCCAAGTAATTTTTTTTTTTCTTTTTTTTAGATATAATTTATGTAAAATTTTTTATTTGGCTAGCTGGGTTACTTTTAAATTTTATATTATAAGAACCAAAAATTAAATTTTATATAGCTTTATTTTATTATTAATCTATTTATAATTATTAAAATTACTTTAAATAAAATGAAAAATTAAAGATAAAATTAAATTATAGCTTTTAATCTATATAAATTTTATAATCATAAATTATTAACTTATAGCGATAGTAATAGATCTAAATTTTTTAAAATTAATATATTAAACCTATAATTATTATAGTAATCGTAATAAATCTAATTTTTTTAAAGAGAAGTTGATTATATATAAGTAATAGAAAAATGCTTAAGGGGTAATCCGCAGTTAAAGGGTATAAATTTTAATTGTCTTATATAGTAAGTGGAATCCCAAAAAATTTTTGCAATAGTAAAAATCGTATAGTAAAAAAAAAAAAAAAAAAAAGATTTTATTACCATTAGAATCAGAAAACATAGTTCTACAACTTTAATTAGAAGCCAAAAGAAGGTTAACTTAATAAAAAAAAAGTACTTTTATACGTAATCTAACCAGATTTTTGCATTATAAAATATTAAATTCCGATTTTGTTTATTATAAGATTTAGTATTTATTTTTTTACCCTTCAACTATAGTCTTATTAGAACATTTTTAGTAAACTAATTAATGATATAATTGTAGTTTAAATAGATTACAATTACACTACTTACTATATTATAGATTATAATTATCCTATAAGGTATACAGAAGTATACACATTTTATGAATATTGTGTTCAATATGCATATAAAAATTTTTGTATCTTTATAAAATTTGTTTTATATTGAATTTATTGCTTGTTATATTAATATGATTTTGATGATTCCTTATATTCGAAATATATACGTTTCTTAAATATTGCATTTGAGATAACTTATGCATACAGTATTCTATATCTATGATTATGGTATAGTTCGAAGTAATAATTACTAACTATAAAATTCTATTAATACTAGGTTAACGTAGCATTAATTTTCTTTACTTTAACCTCTTTTTCTCAAGCTTAAATATGTTGTGAGTAGAAACTTTGCCCATGCGGGTTGTCCAACATAATGATCTTCATATTACACAAACGCGTAAATATGCTAAAATACAAATATAGACACGCGCTCAAAAATTAGGTGAAATCCAAAGTAGACCGAATATATTGTATCTCAAACAGAATATCAGGAATCATTAAAAGATTATAAAAAAATATACAAACTCAACTAGATGCTCTTCAAAAAATAAAGAATGAACGCGTGCGGACGGACAAAGAAGCTGATGCGATCTTCATAATATATATCAAAAAAAGTAACCAATTTTTAGTAGAAATGCATAAAAATATCACTTGACGTGCATTGAAAGTCCTCTGCTACATTTTGGATAGCGTTTTAAGCCAGCTAAAGCAACCACGACTAAGCCGACTTAGCTAGCTAAGCCAGCTAATATAATATGGTCAGTTGGATAATGCGCCTAAAGATCACATGATTCTAAGTCTGAACGAAGAGAACGAAAAAAGTTCCTGGAATAAAGCTGTTAGCCAGCTGCTAGCCGATGTTTTAGTTGGTGTTTTAGTTAGCTGGTTCAGCTGGCCGACTAAAACCATGTGACTTTAAACACTAGCTCCGGACTAGCATCAGATTGAATTCCCTGTTATATGTAGGATTGTTATAACTTACTTGACAACGTAGAATAAATTTTAAATTCTGATTAATGTTCATATAACTGTTAATAAACATAAACATGCTAATCACATTGATACTTTTACGTTTATTTATATTAAAATAGTAATACAGTAATTTTTTTTGTTCATCAAAATTTATACATCGAAATGATATCTTGACGAATACCCAATGAAAATCAATGCTTTTTCTTTTTTTTTTTAATTTGGCATATTCGTAGAATCAAAATAAAAAAATTTCAGCGAATTTCATCAGGTGGTCTATCAAATTAAAAGCCGTTATAAGTTTTTTTCAAAATCTTTAAACGAAGATATCTCGACAACCACCTAATGAAATTCGATGAAATTTTTTTATTTTGATTCCACTAATGTGTAGAATTAAAATAAAATAAATACTTTTAAAATTTCCTTTTTTTAATTAATGAAAAAATAAAATTATCAGCTATTTTGTATAACCAAATAATAATTCCAGATAAGAACAACTATAGTACATTATCGCATATGTTATGAAATATTTCATTACTGAATACATCCCTGCTTCCTCTAAGTATCAGTTTAAATCTATATGGAATTCCCGTTATATCTTAAGTTGTCGAACTCAATTAATCCAGGAATAAATATCTGCAGCATGCTCTAAAGTAATTATAGAATAAGATAGTGATTTTCGAGAGGTGACTTGACAATTTTTTGCGAGGAAGTAAAATAGTAGAAATAATAGGCTTAATCGGAGGTAAACATCTTGTAATAATATCATTCTACAAATTCTTTTTTATTTCTTCACTAGGAATTTGAAAATATCTAATATGAGGAAGACAATTTTGAAGAGTAGTTTTTAATGATTTGAACTTCTCCTTAGTCTATTGCTTATAATTAAATGATAAATCGGTGTTGGTGCTTTTCTCATAAAAATAATTTTACCTCAAATTTTTGATTCATCCAATTGTAAGTCCTCACATTTTAAAAAAGAGATAAAAGCATTCTCTTGGATAGTAGTGAAATCATCAAAATTAAAAAATAAATTCTGATATATACGAGAAAAATTTAAATGAAACCAAAACCTATAATTTTCAATAAGGCAGACTAAAAGGTTAAATTTGTTGAAAGAGAAAGTCTTCAGGTTTCGTCATTACGTAAAAAGGAATGATAGACTCGCTATCCGTTTAACCCCAAAGCCTCAAATTTCTTAACGATTTCTTTTTCTAACAAAAAAAAGGTATGCATCATCGTGTTCTCTTAGTCCCTAGAGCAACCTTTCCATCTAGATTGATAAATTGGTTATCTGCTTTGGAGCGCATGTGTCTACACGGTACCGAGATACCGCAGCGTAACTTTCACATATCTGATATGCAACTAGACACGTAAAACATATCAACATATACTAATAGCATACTCCATGTAAAACATATCGACGTATACATATTAGCATACTCCATGTAAAACATATCACTGTACCCTCCTAATCAGTCCTAAGTATAACCTTATCTTCCTAGACTACTTCGGCTGTATCAGTTTCAGAACGCATGTGTCTATACGGTACCTTGCGTAACTTACACACACACGCGTACTAAGCATTAATACCCAGTAAGATAATTTACCTTCTATCACAAATAAAATCAATTGTCAAATCGTAAGGTTGTGAATGTGATTATTAAAAGCCTAGAATAAATTAAAAAAAAAAGAAAAGAGCTAATAAGAGTTAAAAGGTTATTTAAAATATCAATAACATGAAAGTAAAGTAAAGTAAATTTTTAAATAGAACTTTTAAATTCCATAGCACTGAAGTGAACTAGTTTAGTAAGGTCGAAAATTCATAAACAAAAATAATAAAAGTTTTTAACAAGAGAAATAATAAGTTAAGAATAAATAAAAAATAAAAAAAAGCATATTCACAAATAGAAAAAGCTACTAGTCTTAACACTACGTGAGTTTTTCAAAAAGCGACTGACTTGCTGTTTCTTCTATTTTACAACTGTAGCAAGCTTAACCAATCATTTTTCAAGATCAGGTGTAACGTGAAAATCAAACAAAAAATACAGTTTAAAAGAACTTAAGATTTTTAAGATAGTTAGGTTCATCAGTAAAATTAAATTTCATGTTACACCTGATCTTGCAATTTAATTTGCTGCGCAGAATTTTTGTATTCTGATAATGCCAGTAGATATTACAAAGTTATTTCAGTATTGTATATTAAAAAAATTGAGTTTGCGATTTTTTGTTGTATATCAAAATTCATGCATACGCTCATTTAATTTCGGATACAAATATTATCCGTTTACTTGAACTGATGAAACTTTGCACGATAACATACTACAAATAATAATTAACCATTTAAACGAATATACTGTATCTTGGCAGCCCGAACTCGAATAAAAAAAAAAAAAAAAAAGCGAACCGATATTATATAACTGATAAGTTAACTTTTAATTAACGCGTATGTTACACCAATATAATACTTAATGCTAGCCAAAATTAATCTTAATGCTAGCCAAAATCAATCTTAATGCTAGCCAAAATCAATCTTAATACTGGCCAAAATTAATCTTAGTTAATTTAATGCTGACCTGCCTTATTATTAGTAATTAGTTTGGGTCGGGTTGACTCTTAACCCGAACCCTCCGACCCGATCGGAACACTACTAATAACCTTAAAGTTTCGACTTCCAAAACAGATTTTCACATCCTTGTTAGCGGTGGAACCCCCGGTATTGGTACGGATCCTTTTGCACTGTTCAAGAAATTATGTAGATTTCATCTATTTATTAAGTTCTACATATAGGTAAGACTCGGTTTGGCCAGGAGCTTTTCGATTTCATCCAAACAAGATTGGTTTTGTCATCCCAATGGACAACCAACAACTGCCGACCACATTTCGAATACCTTTATCTAGATTTTGGGAGCTACATGAACTCGACAAATATGACTACTAACTATCAACAGTAATTATTGGATTACGGATTGCTTATGGGAAAATATGAAATAGGGTTTCATCTTTTCCGAGATCAGGCTTGTCCTTACATTGATATATTCAAGGTTGAAAATGTCTTTACAAGCATTCGAAAAAACTTTCACTACAAAAACACTTAGCAACTCTTTATATTTCTCCATGTTGATGAATTCCAGCTAATTTATAAATGGGATAAACAACCCCAAAAAAAAACCTCTTTAAAAATATGATTAATGACCTTGCAAATTCACGTTTGACCTACCTAAATATACTTTTGTTCAAGCATTCTGTCATCGCAACCAAAGAGGCATTGAAGGTTTCATTCAAATTTGTAAAGTGTCCAATGCTATCGACCGCGTCTATGATTCAAATTGTCGATCATTATGCTGAAAAATTTTGCGCAGAAACTTTTGACAAAGGAGATTACAAATGGAAGCTATGTTACCAGTTCCTTCAACTTTTGAGTACATTGGAGGATTACCTCGCGCGCTTCAACACCTTCTTGATATTTGCTTTCATAATTATAGTATAATAATTGTGAAGAAACATTCTTTCACACTATTCATGATTTATGACAAAATCTTCCAAACCACTATTGAAAGACTCAATACTCTTTACAACATTCATAAAGTCGTAAGGAACTCATATGGGTGCCGTCAAAAGAAAACCTGGCATCGGGCTTTCAAATATATTTTCTGTATAGATCGTATCCTGTGAGCCACCTATCATCGGACATTTAATTATATCTTGTGCCGGACATACCCCTGAAAAATCTGATCAGAAATTTAAATACAATGTGCTAAATTTACCGTTATCGTTATTGCAAGATTTTTCAGTGGGTATGTCCGGCACAAGATATAATTAAATGTCCGATGCTAGATTTATTATAGATGGAACACAGGATACGATCTGTACACAAAATATACTTGAAAGCCCGATGGCAAGTTTTCTTTTGACGGCACCCATATTATGTATATTTGAGATAAAAAAAACCTTATTTAAGAAAAAAATCTCAATATATATAATATAAATTAATATTAATAAAAAATTATAATTTAATATTTAATAATGATAATTGAGACTATCCCGCATGTTAACATAATGATTGATAGTTTTGAGTATTTAAAAAGTTTCGGATAGGGTTTTTGAGGTTTCGGGCAGAGTTTTAGAGTTTCGGGTAGGGTTTTGGGTTTCGAGTTTCGGTAGAGGTTTCGGAATCTATAATCCGAAACCCAAAACTTTCGGATTTGGCCAAAAAGGTTTCGGGTCCCAACTCTAGTGAAGATGCATATTTAACTACCTCAGTTCGGTTTACCACTATGAGGTGATTTTGTTATATCACATTTTGTATCCCATTAAGTGTAATAAAATATAGAGAATTTCTATTTGTACCCTATGGGTATGTTGTGAGGGGCGGATTTGACCTACTGGGTCCCTCATGGTTAACCGTAACAAACATAGCGCAAAGACACAGGCAACTCGAAAGAGAGACGTGGAAAGATTAGGTCCGAGGACCAAGGATCCTACTGCCACTAAGATCCCGGTCTTAAGGTTGTGTCTTTATTAATTAACAACTAACGATCTCTCTT